GTCTGAGCCAGGACTGTCGCTGCCTGCAGTCCTGTAGTTCTCTGCACTTGCAGCTTTGGGGCCAAAATGTGCTACGGTATCAGAAATCCCAGGGCCTTCCCCAAGGGCGGTGTTCACCCCAGGACAGATTTTGCAAGGTGGCACGATTGCCATGCCTGGATGGCAGCGAACAAAAGATATGTTAGGGCAGGTATGTTGGCCCCGGCAGATCTTTAGGGCTGGTGTTTGCGTGCTTGGTGGAGGAGCTAGCACCAAAGCTGGAGGGTGTGCGGTCTTTCTAATGTAGGATGGTGTAAGCAGAGGACTCGGCTCCACCTGGGCAACTCACAGGGCTCGCTGGGTCTGCTCAGCCCTGGTTCCAGCTGGGGGCTCGGGGTGCCAGATGTTGAGGAGCTTGCTCAGCTGGCATGTGTTGGATCCTGCCCTCCTGCCCGGTGCAACGAAGGGGAAGGGGGGATGTGTGGCGATGATGAAAGCCCCCGCGTGTCCCAAGGGAGCCATTCCCCTCTTCATGGCCGGCTTCACCCTTCACCCAGGGAAAGCGGCTTGCTGACCTGTCGAAGCACCTCGGTCTGCGCCACGTCGAGGCCTGGAAAACGTGAGGCAGCTGATGGGGGGCCGGCTGGAGGTGCTCCACTTTGACAGCAAAGGTGTGGTGGAGGAGTACTTCCAGAAAGTTGGTGTTCCCACCACGACCATCTGACTGCCATTCTACTTTGAGAACTTCCTCTCCCTCTTCAACCCGCAGAAGGTCCCGCAGGGAGATACCTTTGTCCTGGGTAAGACAGGACCTCTCACTTTCCATGTCTCTGCCCTGTAGTTCTCTTCTGCTCCCACTGTGCAGAGGCTCACTGAGGGGCAGTGAAACCACGAGGAGTGCAGACTGATGGGGAAAAGGGGCCTGTGCCAGCTTGACCACAGCAAGTAGCAGCTGCATTATGGTCCTTCAGTCCTGCTTGGTGGCCTGCAAGAAATAAGTGAGATGCCAGTCCTGTTTCTGGTGCTGAGGGCTGCTCTGCAGATCCCAGAGTGTCTCTGAACACCCCGGCTCCCTGCAGTTGGGATGTCGGAGGTCAGAGGTGGGGCTGCAGATCTGGGCGAGTCGCGGTGCTGCTCTGGCCACTCACGGTCTCTTAGCTCGGGCCTGCGGGTGCTCTCGTGGCTTGCCACACTGATGCAATGCTCACGGCTCTTCCTCACCTCGTGTTCAGAGGCTGGGTGCCAAAAACTCCAGCTGTACCTCCTCAGAGCTGGGCTGCACTCTGACCAGGATCAATCTCTCCTGTACAGTGCTGCCCATGGGGGACACCCTCACGGATGGGATGGCAGTGGAGGACACTGGGCCTGTTGTGCTTTGCCTGCTGAAGTCCCCGGGGGAGTACATAGGCCGAGTGATCGGGCTCAGCACTGGCAAGCTCACCGAGGCAGAGTACGCCGCTGTCCTCTCCCAGCAGACGGGCAAGACGGTGGAAGCCAGCAAGGTAGGAAGCATCCCTACCTTGTAGGGTGTACATGATGTTCTTGAGGCGGGGGGAAGCTGGCCGAGGGCCCTGCAGCCTGCCTTCAGGTGGTGGGGGGATGATCCCGGTGCCTTCCCAACAGCTAGGCGCTCTGCAGGTCCCTGCCCAGGCCAGGCTGCTGTTGGCTGCGGGTGCGCACCTCTGCTTGGCAGCAGCAGAGGGGCAGCGTGCCTGGCCTCTCCCCTTGGTCTGAAATAGTGGGGGGCTCTGTACGGGGGCTGAGCACGGATAGCACTGGCAAAACAAGTGCTGTCCTGCCCCAGCAGCAAGGCCAGGAGCCGCCGGGGTGGAGGGCCCCTGTAGGTCGGTGTACGGGTTCGGTACAACCTAGCGCTGGTGTCCAGGATTAGTCCCGCTGCCCCTGCGTGCGGCTGGAGCACACGTTGGCGCCGAAACTGTCTTGCCGGTGTTGTCACTGAGACGACGCATGCTCATGGAGCACGCGTGTGCGCCCGGGCAGGTCTGTGCCTGGCTCTGAGGGATAACCGAAGCGGGAGGTCTCCAGAAGAGCCAGGAGCCGCGCAGTCGCTGGTGGGGCTGCGTACCTACAGAACAGGTCTCTGCTGCGTGCCCCTCCCTTCAGCAGGTCTTCCCCGAGAGCCTTGCTGTGTCACCCAGTGCTCCTGGCCTCTCCGTGCCCCGTGACTTTTTAATTTTTTGTTTGTGTTTTGGCTGTGCTGCTCCCCTCGGGCGGCCAGTACACTGAATGAGGGGTGCAGTGGCTCTCTGCTTTGAGAACAAAGCATATTTCAGCAGAAACGAAGCACCTCTGATGCTCTCTGCAGGTTCTGCTCTGCCAGGGACAAATAAGCAGCTCTCTTCTTCCCAGGGCCCCAGCACAGTGCAGAAGCACGGTGGTCCACCCTTTGATTCAGGCAGGGAGGGTGGGTGCTGGGGTACAAGGGGCAGCCTGGGTTGCTCGGGCTCTCCAGAGCTCTCCTGTATCCCCCAAGCCCGTGTTTCTAGACCCCCTCAGCCACGGCTCATACCCCGATGCAGGGAAGGGCTCCCTCATAGCTGTTCCGGGCTTCGGCTGCTGGGGAGAGTGGGTTGTGTGCCTGAGCCCGTGCCCAGGCTGGCTGTTTGCCAGAGCCGGGTGCTGGCCCCAAGCAGGTTGGGCCATTCCCTGCCAGGCAGGGCTGCAGGGTGCTCAGCGGCACTGCCCTGCCAGTGGCTG